CTTCGTCACCTGATGAAGCAGTATCCTCAGCATTCGATATCAGACCAGACATAGTAATGTTCCAGAAGTTTCTTGTGAGGATTGACTGGCGATAGAGATGTTAGTTATAACTGAGAAATCACACAAGCTATTTGATGTCTTGTCAGCTTCAGATCCAGCCAGGATCATCTTCCCCACAAATGAGGGATTACTTGACCTCATTAAGGCCCTATGGCATACACTGACCATGCTAACTTCCACTGCAAAGCGAGTCAAGAAGAGGTACCAAGTACCTCCCTGGGAGTTTGAATACTTTACATCCACCACAACCCAAGCTCCTTCTTCATATCCGCAATATACTAAAAGTTGAATATGAGTAAGGCAAGGATCTGAAAAGGCTGGACCTTTTTGGATTGTACTTCTCAGCTTCCCTACAACTGCGTGCAGCTAACTGCCTTCCTAACATAAGAGAGAGTAACACTTACCTTGTGAAGGTACTACAGCCAAGAAGAGCCTCAAGACTAAAGAAGATCAAGTGGTGGCCACGGATGCCTCCAAAACTAAGGCTACCTTTATGACCACTGTGATGACAATGTGCTAGCCCTCACAGCTCCAGGCAGTGGGCATTCAGAGAAACATATAGGCCATGACTGAGGGTTTGCTGCTTCAGGACTGAGAGCTGCTCAGAAAGAGGACAGATGATACTCTGTACTCACCAAAGGACTCAAATACCACACACTCTGGGTATTTCCTCATTTGAAAGAAGAAAGGAGGTCTACACCTACACCTGAGGAAACTCAACAAATACATATACCCTCTCAGATTCAGGATGGTAATACTTGCCTCCATCAGTCCATTTCTTCAAACTCAAGGGTAGTTTATAGCTCTCAACTTGAAGAATGCATACTTCCATATAGCTATCCATCTGGCCCACAGGAAATACCTAAGATTCAGTGGGACCCAACCATTACCAATACAGAGTTCTGCCTGTCATGCCACTGAGAGTATTAACCAAATGCCTGGCAGTGCATGTAAGGAAGCAGGGAATCTGTGTACCCACCTCACCTGGGATGACTAGCTGATCAGAGGCAGGTCTCAATAAGAGACTACAACAGTCTTATAATAAGTCCTTTCCCTGTTCTCTCAACTAGTATTCACTGTGAACTATGAAAAATCATCACTCATGCCATCACAGACAATAGAGTTCATAGGACTATGATTAACTCCCAATCAGCAAGGGAGTTCCTACCACCTAGGAGACTGGTTCCAGTCTCTCCAGCTTTGGCAAACAACCTAAGATCAAATTCCATATTCAGTCTTCATGAAGAAGAAAGAATGGTTACTTATCCTTCAGTAACTTTGATTCTTTGAGGTGTTGTAGAGTGTGTGTATCCTGTGACTTGCCCACCTTTCATCCCTGCTTTTCGGAGTCCTCAGCAACACTGGCTTTGAATGGCAAGGGCACTGAGAAGGGGTCACAGATGATCAACCCTTACTCCTTGTATGGTGCATAAGGAGGCACATGATGCATGCACAGCCCAGCTAACACCGCTTTCAAAAACACTCCAATCTAGCATGCACGAGGTGTACGAGCACCTCAGTAGGATCTAGGCTGCCTATGACATCTCAAAGAACAATAGTTACTGTAGGTTAAATACCCATTCTTTTCTGTCCAAGGATTATCACTTTACATTCATTCTTTCATATTATAATTCCAAGCTTTAGAATCAGCACCCATGATGGTGATTCATTTTTGTCATAAATGTAATTGAGTGCCATTTGAAGTGACCAGACTGAAGGATGCAAAAAAATGACAATAAATGTGAATGACAAATACTTTAGTAAAAGTGTGACGGCAATGATGTTTGTCACATAGAAACAGATATTATACCTTTAATAACAGAATGCTAAATTTCTGCCTTTTGTATTGAAATATTACACAGATTTTGCTTTAGTGACCTTTTTAGTTTTTGAACTAGGACACTAGGCATTTGCATTGTCAGCTAGCAGCCCGCTCATTATTAATTTACTGAGCTGTACAATGTTTCCATTGCTACAAAACAGAAGGCAGAACATTCCTTGACTAAAGTGAGAAATGTGTTCTCTACTAGCAATGCAAACCATGTTCGATAACTTTAAAACAGTAAGACAAATGCTCTTATTATTTCATGTTGACGTAACAGCAAATGGCTTGTTTTACTGAGATAATCATTGCCAGTTTAAAATCCCTGTCCAAAATTAAAGCTGATTCATTTTCATTTTAATATAAAATTACCTTTTTGCACAACATGGTAGTGACTCAAAGTAGAGCTGGCAGAATACTACTAATAGTACTTTTACTAAGCCAAAGGTGAGGAATCTTAATGGGAAGTATTGGATCTTACCAATAACAAACGGAGAAGGTTTTTATGCCTGTGTACAGACCTCTTGAGATTGCAACTAGGGTGCCATTTATGATGGTGGATTTTTGTGAAGTGGATACTCCCTCGTTAAGACTGGATTAAGATCAAAACTCATTTCACATAGGCCACTCAGTACACACCATCTGCTAGCACCATTTTTGTCATCACCCATCTCAGATGGATTTGAACCCATGACTGGCTTCAGATCACCCACCGCTAATTTCTTCACCAATCCACTGCTACCTCATCATTTTTATTATAGCTCTCAGGCCAAAGTAGTGCTACTATTACATCCTACTGGCAGTGTTTTTTCTTTAAAGGAAACAAGTGAAGATGTTGCGTAATCTGATTTATCTTTTAACAAACGGTTGAATAAATACACTCACACACACCCCAAATATTGAAAACTAGACACCTTCCCCTAGCAGCAGGTAAATGGATCAAGGATGTTTGAGGGATTTCCCATTTTAAGTACAGGGAATACTGCAGTATAAACCCTTTTAATAGTTACTTTGCAAAATATACATACTTTGATATATACTTGCAAAAACTGTTTCACGTCAACAAAACTCACTCTCTTTTTTCAGTTTATCCCTCTACTAAAAGGCTGAATATTGTCCTGACCTGAACCACATCTCTGCTAATAGAATTATTCCTCTGCTCTCTCAAGGATGTGTGGGAGGGGAACAAATTAATCTCTGTACGTGCCTGAAAATGCCAATTGACATGCAGTGTTAATGCTGAGTCAAGACTGAAGACACACAGGAGAAATGAGCTGGGAAAGACATCTAAATGGAAGGCCAGGTTTTTTTTTGTAAAATACACAAGCAGGAGATGGTTTCCATCATGAAAACTCAGTTCTGTTTCAACACTTGAAAAGAAAACATCCTCTTCACGTTGTCATTTTAAAGTGAACTCTGAAAATCTACAGGTCATGTTGACTTTGAAAATACTAAAAATTAAAGTTTATCCAACATGATGCAGTGAGGTAAATGACACATCCCAAGAGAGAGCAGGGAATGATGGTGTCATAGTCCGTCCTTTGAATTTCTGCTGAGGGAGGGCAGCTTTAAATTGTGGTCAGGGCTTGCACAGAGATGTGCTAAATCGGCACATTTCCCTAACTACCGTGGCCATGCCCCTTTCCACGCCATGCCTGCACACACACGATGTAAACCCCACAATGCAGGACCAACCTCTGGTGAACTTGATCTTATTCCCTACAGCCACCTGACTGCTTTCCTTAAAAATCCAGAGATATTAAATGCAAATGCCAGAGTTTATGCAACAGTAAAGTGGAGTGACAAAGTATTCTTAATTTGTTGAATTCCACAAGTTAAGGTTTCTCCTGACATGTTAAATTGGTTATATTGAACAAAAAGGAAATTCTTTTTCCTACAATTCATTTACCACGTTCTCCTTCTAGTGTAAGCTCTTCACCAAAATATCTAGCTTAACAGGACCCTGATTTGCTTTTCTGGATGAAACTGCAATACAAATGTTAAATAACTAATTTAAACTATCGTCCTACTGTTTCTTTTTAACCTATCCCATAAAATTTGCAGATATGTGCAAAGCTGCCACATTTGTGTTATGGGAGAAACGTTAAGTTTTGGGAATTTGGTTGCTCTTAGTAGCTCATACTGAATGTCATATTAATGCTAAAAGTGGGGTAAAAGTGGTGGATGGTGGGGTAATATCTTTTATTGGACCAGCTTCTAGTGGTGAAGACCTGAAGAGCTCTGTGTAAGCTCAAAAGCTTGTCTTTCTCACCAACAGAAGTTGGTCCGATAAAAGATATTACCTCACCCACCTTGTGTCTCTAGGTGCCCGGGCCTGACTTGGCCACAACCACTTGCATCCATACTAGCACTAATTTTTTTTCAATACAAATTAAACATCCGTATGGATTACACCCTGTAAACCGGCTCGTGCTGAGCCCTTCACCAGTAGGGAAAGGACGGTAGTCCAGCAAGGCTGTCAAGAACACGTCAGCCGGCCACACCCTACGTGATGCTGATGACTGTCTGGCTGCTACCGGAGGTGGGCACTACGACACGTTTCATGGCATCTCTGCGTGGACTGGAGTGACCAGATAGGTACCAATTACCGCCCACCGCTGGGCATGATTTTCACACTTGGTATCTGGTCACCCTGGAGTGAGCTGGAGCGTTGGCAGAGCAGGATGGGTCTTAGGCCAATCCCTGTCTACCACTGGCTGACAAGCCCCCTTCAGTGCCCGCTGAGGAGACGGGGGTGGAGGGTCCTTTCCCGGTGCGACTGGATCCAGGACCTCGCCTGACCAGAGCAGCCGCCAAAACCGTTCTACCGTTTGGGGTAGTGGGTCCCGAGCACGGTGGGGACCAGGCCAAACCGGGGCGAGGTCCTCGCTCGCTGGGCACCAGTAGGTGGGAGGAGCCTTCAGGTGGGCCTGGCTCTGCCCTGTCCAGGCGCTGGGCCTGGCTCCGCCCCTCACCGCGGCCCAGAGAAACGGTCGGCGCGCACAAACGTTCCAAGCGGCCCTCACCTGACGGAGGGAGATGCCGCGCATGCGCTGTCCCAACGCGCGTGCTGCGTAGTCTTGGCCTGCGCCCAGTTCCCGCCCTCTCACCCTAGCTTGGCGCTTGCGCAGTGCAGTAGCTCTTGTGAGGGGAGGGTCGGGGAGGGGGAGTGACGATCGCCGTAACTACCCCTCCCTCCCCCCCCGTTCGCTGCTGTCGGGTCCCGGAGCGGCTTCCCGGGAGCCGGGCGTGTGACCGACCGACCGAGCGAGCGTGGAGGCGGCGCTGCCCGGTAAGGACCGAGCCCGGGAGCCACCCCCGGAGGGGGCTCCGAGCCGTGCCGGCCACACAGGCCCTGGGCAACTGACCCCTTCTCCGTCCTGCCCCCAGCGTCCCTCCCGGGCCCGCAGCTCGCCCCTGCCTCAAGCCCCCTCCGTGGCCTCCCTCTTCCCTGCTCGCCGCCCTCCCGCCTCGCAGCCTGCTCTCCGCTCCGGGGGGCCCCCCCGGCAGCTCCCCCCCATCTTTGTTCCCTCGCTCCAGCCTGTCCCCTCCCCCTCGGTCTGTGCCCAGCCCTCCCCCATGGCGCTGACAGGCGCCAGCCTGGGCTAACCCTGCCGCGGCCGCTGCTAGAGCTCCCTTCCGGCCGGCACCAGCTCCCCGTCTCCCGCCCTCGCCCCACTGCCCAGCCAGCGTGCCGCCCCTGCGCGGCTGTCATCCTCGCCTGCCCCGGCGAGCTCCCGCTGGGGCCGAGCGTGTCCTAGCTGCTCGGGGCAAGCATTTCTGCCTCGGGTACGGCGCTGGGGGCAGCGTCGGGGCGTAAATAAACCGTTCACCGAATATTTCACCCAGATAAGACACAATAAAGCCGTGTTATCTCACTCATCGGGCTTGTGTACGGTGTCCTGCCAAGAAAGGTAGCGACCCCTCCCCTTCCACTCTGCTCCCTCCTTCCACCTTAACTCTCTCTGGCTGCCCTGCTGTTTCCTTACTCCTTCCCCCACTCTCTTGTTTACTTTCTTTCCTCGAGATCTATTCCCTTACCTGTTTTCTCCCTCCTTGCCTTACTGCTTCTCCCTGTACCCATGTAGGACTCCTTTCCTTTCCGTTTTCCCCCAGGCCTCTTCTGTATAGCTATTCGCAGGGGACCTGCAGACTAACCCCCTGTGGGCTCTAGAACACTTTACTCACATATCACACTGTTCAAAAAAAAAAAAAAAAAGACATTACAAGAAAAAAGTTTCCTTAGTTATTAACTAAACAAAATCAACATATCCCACTGGCTACTTGTGACTTGATTGAAATAGTTGTTATGATTCTATTTAAATATTTTAATTAAGCAGCATTGTTTCCCTGATGTGTTGTTTTTTTTTCCCCAAAGAAGCAAATTTAGCTGAATATGTTTCCAAGAAGAGCAGCATGTCCTAATTCTATCCTATTTGTAGTGGGATTACTGTGTAATGAAGAGAAATCATCACTACCAGGACTCTAATTTTGTGTGTGTGTGGCTACCTTTGCATATTTTTGCAGCTAGGAATTCCTAAACTTTTCATGCTGGCTGGGCAACGAATATAGAGAGTGGCCTTACACACACAAATGGCAAAGAATGTACCCTCTAAAGCTCAGGCTCACTGTATTCCCTAGTCTCCCCCCCCCCACACACACATTATCAGAGAAGAAATCGAGGTGGTGGGGGTTCAGCACCTGCTGAGCACACGGCACTGAACTCCCTTCTCCTTACCAAAAAGCCTGGAACACGTTGTGGATGAAGTATTCTATCTATGCTGGTGGTTGAAATGGTTGGCACCTTCCTAGAGGACCTTTCTGCTAGAGTGAAACCAGTTATATTGTGAAGTGGTTTTACAGTGTGAATATTGTTCTACAGATACGAAGGTCCTATCTACATTAGGGCTCTTGAACATTTTCCCCCCACTGTTGGTAACACCAGTTCTTCTTCACCAAAGTAAACAACTTTGAGAGTCATAGAAAAGACTGGCTATTGCTGGCATGAGCACCATGTTGATTATAAAATAGTCTTGAAAGTGGCTCCCCCCCCACTTGCTTGGTTTTTTTTTTTTTTTTTTTTTTAACCTTAGCAACATAAAAGTATCAAGTCTGGTCATCCTTGATTTTGTTGGAAGACCTTTGAGGTGTCTTGGGGATATTTGTGAATACCATAGGTGTTGTATCTCTAACAAAGTATTCCTTTTTTTCCAAAAAATTAATTATTGTGGGTAAGTAGATGTTAATTGAAAACCCAAACCAGTTTTAAGTAGTTTGACTAAAAATCCCTTTTCCTCTCAGATGCTCAGTTTTTACTCTGTTGGCTCTTGTAATGTCACCATTTTGTTATTTCTCCAGTCGCTACAGTCAGCTGCCTGGGATTTGAATTTCTGTGTAAAACAGAGTTGCATTGGAGTGCATTATTTTAAGTGAATGGCTTTGGAATTATGAGACATGGTTGCATGCAGCGTCTTGGGGGAGGAGGTACAAAAGATGTGAGATCTAGGGGTTTAGAGGATTATATTTAACAATTTGCCAGACAAGAATGGACTTTTAGAACAAAAAGTGTGGTGGTTGTAACAATGGGGAAAACCCATTTGTGTGTTTTGAAGGACTGAAACCTACCAGAGCCGAAGGTTGCTGTTTGGGTGATCTCTGGTGTGCATGTCTAAGGTTCTTTTATTGTTTTTAATGGTCTGCTGTAATGCATTAAGAATAAATGTGCTTGCTTATAAAAAGCTGTGTGAGAACTTATATGTGAGGGTCATGATGCTGTTAGCCTTTGGAGAGAAAGTAAAGTGCAGATGCTGGCCTATTTAGGCATTCTGGCTTGCTGGGAACATCACAGTGTAGGCAGGGAACTGTGCAGACTGGAAATACCCAGGTCAAGAGGGAGAGAGACATGGGTCTCTAGCCAAGAGAGGTGATAGTTGGAGAGCCAGGAATCCAGAATGGGTGCCCTTGAGAGTCCATGGAGGAGGAATACAGGTTCTGTTACCGTGGTCTGTGATGCCAGGATCTTTAATTTTTCATGGATTGCTTTTTATGTTCTGGAATTTATCCCTACCACTCCGGAGCATTTGTAATTTGTAATAGCCCAAATTTTGTAATCTTCCAGACACTTTGTAAAAGACATCTTTTTGCTAGGGTTTGAGAAGAGGGCTGAAGGGTGTGCTTCCCATAATGATGAAGGGTTGGAAATTAGTTTATGTATGTGCCTGGCAGGCCAAGTTCCTGTTGAAATGATTATTGCAGTGCTTCTGGAATTTCACTGTACTGGATAATAGAGCATTCAATAGGTCTCTGTTACTGTTTTAAGTGTAAATAAATAATAGTACTTGTAGGTGACCTGCCTTTTTGGCTGCATTGTTTTCAAAAGGAGTTTTCTGGTTGCTTTTTACTTTTTAAAGCAAGGAATCCTTTACTTCTGTTTAGAAATCCTGTTCTTCAGCCTCTTATTTGTACCTTTGGAGTCTAACTAGCAAATATTGGCTGTAATCCTACAAATGCTTAAGCAAGTGTGTAACATTACTAATGTGAGTAAACCCATATGCTTCAATGGGAAAAATCATGTGAATAATGTTAAGCATGTGCTTCAGTGTTTGTTTGTTTTGATTACCCTAAAGATTTAATCTTTTTTCGTAATACACTTATAATGAAGAAGAAAAAGATAATTGGCTGTAGAGATTGAATGAGTTTGAGGATATGATTATGTGTATAGTCACAAGAAAAGTGTACTTATTCTGCTTTGATGGACTAATTAAAATTAAAATTACTTGAGAATTCACCATTGGGAGTACTTATTATTTAATACAACTTGCTGGTGATGGTTGGCTGCCATGTCTGAGCAGACACGACAAATAATGTGCCGTTTAAACTTTTTACACACACACAATTACATTCCTCTTCGTAAGTAAGAGGACAATTGCGTTAATCATATTTATTTTCCTATGTGGTAACAATAGTTACTTTGATTTTTATCTTTGTACCTAATGTCTGAATGCCTCAGGATCTCTTAATGTTAGTTATTTACAAGAAATATGTTCCAAATAAACCACAGAGCAAGCTACTCAGAAATTAAACTGGGAAAGAAATGTAGTATGGATGTAAATTACAGGATCAGATCCTAGGATTGCTCACTGCATAGGAAACGGAAGATTCTAGGATGAGGCACTTCTAACATCTTGTTAGGTGCTGTAAAGTAATCAGATCTTCTGGGAAGAATATTTAGGTGAAGCACACCAGTGTTCCTTACATACTTCATCTTTTAAACTTGGCTTCATTGCTAAGACTTAGACAAAATTTACATCTGTTTTCATACTGAATGTTTGGCAATTTTGCAATCCTCTTGCATCTTTTTGCAAAATTGCAGTCAAACTACTGGACATCCTGGCACAAATTGGTGAGTATGATGAGTGCATATAAATCAGCATGCACTCTTTTACTGACCATTCCCTAGAGTTGAAACTCTAGATTGTCATATTTTGCTACATTCACATTTTTATTCATGTTAAAAAAACCTAGACATCTGAATAACTATTAGGGGGGTAGCCATGTTAGTCTGTATCCACAAAAACAACGAGGAGTCCGGTGTTAGTCTTTAAGGTGCCACCAGACTCCCTTGTTGTTTTTCTGAATAACTGTGTATCTTGAAGACAATTGAAGTGGTTGTTGGTAATTTTGTAATTAGACATCAGTTACGGTAGTTTAATTTTCTTTGTGTTCCCTTTTTTAATAGTTTACTTGACTTTGATCATCGCTTGAACCAGTGTTCATTACAAATAAATTAAGACATTATGTAATCAATATAACACAGGGACTGATGGTCTCTTCATTAAACGTTGAAAAGGAATTTATTTTTTCTTTCCTTTCTGCACTCTTGTACAGAGGAACTACTTTTCTGTTAATGGAAAATAAACCTGTGGCTGCTTGAAAACAGTCTTGAAAAGACTTTTGGCCAAGAGTTTGAAATTCTTAGAACTCTTTGTTTAAATGTGTAGCAAGTTTCATTCTTAATTAAAAGCAGACATTGGTGTTGACACATGGGGCACTCTTTAAAAACTGTGATATGAAATTTCCTCAGTATTTTTGGGGGGGAAGGGGAGAGAGTCTTCATCATATTTTCTTGTACAAATGACGATGCTAAAACTTTGGCAGTCTTAAAATAGAAAAGTCTGTAAAAATGATCAGTGAAGTTTGACCTTTTTAGAGTTAGAGGTTAGTTGGTTTTACTTGCATTACTAAGTTCCACTGATCTTTATTCAGCAAGCAGTCCCTGAAATTTGACAGCAATTACTTTAACTGTGTATCCATTGGGCAGGAGAATTCTCTTATCTTTTGTTCTTACCCTGTCAGCAGCACTCCCTTGCTCATTACATATGGCTTTGCTTTTCCTAAACAAATATCCCTTTGTTTCTGTAATTCCCTACCTGATGGACATCACAAAGTCATATAGTAAGTATTGTCATCATATGGAGGGATTTGTTAGTGGAGTCCCTCAAGTTTTCTTTGGGAAAGTTCGTGTGGTTTGTTCTACTTTATGGGCATCATGGTCATGCTGTATTGCCAAAATTGATCAGAACAAGTTTGCTTGCTTGCTCTTCACTGTGATTTGAAGATGAAAAAATTGATGAGTTCACCTGTATTTCTCCTCCTACCCCAGAGATGGCCAACCTGTGGCTCCAGAGTCGCATGCGGCTCTTCAGAAGTTAGTATGTGGCTCCTTGCATCAGTGCTGACTCTGGGGCTGGAGTGACAGGTGCTCGACCTCAGGCCCCGGCCCTTCCCGCCCCCTCCCTCACTGCACCCTTGCTTCTTCCCCCCTCCATCCCAGAGCTTTCCTGTACACTGCGAAACAGCTGATCGCGGCGGGCAGGAGGCACAGGGAGGGAGGGAGGGGGAGGTGCTGGTTGGCAGGGCTGCCAGCAGGCAGGAGGTGCTGGGAGAGGGGGCTGATGGAGGCTGCTGATGTATTACTGTGGCTCTTTGGCAATGTACATTGGTAAATTCTGGCTCCTTCTCAGGCTCAGGTTGGCCACCCCTGCCTTACCCCAAAGAAAAAGCAAATAGAATTTTACAAAGCAGTTTTATATCTTGGCTTGATATGAGTGAGTAAAGGCTTAAATATGGGTCGTGAAGATGGTGCATACACTTTATTATGGATTCAGCTGTTGGAAGCTATACCATCAAATTCCCTTTGGACTATCTCATCTTAATGATGTGGCATTTAGACAAGATAAATATTAGATGGGGTGCATCTCTAGATTCTGTTATTCCTTTGCTCTTTTTGACAAAAATTAATATATTACAATTGGCTTAATTCTCTTATGTATAATTCCACCACTGCCCTATTCTCTCCTACTTATCTAGTACAGAATTAGCAGGGATGGTTTTCTCAACTGTAAAGTCATCCTTCATTCTTTCCTGTGAGGATGTAGCCTCCTCTACACTAGGGCGGGGGATCGATCTAAGTTACGCAACTTCAGCTACGTTATTCACGTAGCTGAAGTCAACGTACTTAGACCTACTCGCCGCCGTGTTTTCACTATGGTGAGTCGACTGCTGCCGCTCCCCCCGTCGACTCCACCTGCGCCTCTCGCGGCGGTGGAGTACAGGAGTCGACGGGAGAGCGCTCGGGGGTCGATTTATCGCATCAAGACTAAACGTGATAAATCGACCCCTCTGGATCGATTGCTGGCAGCGGGTAGTGTAGACATACCCTTGGTTTGAATAAAGTTTTAAAGGTGACTTTGCACTACTGCTGAAGAATGGATGCATATATCATTATTCCACTTTACAAATGAAAACCAAAGCACAAAGATACAGTGATTTGCCCAGGTTCTTAGAGAAACTCATAGAAGAGCTGGGAACAGAACCTTGTATTCTGCTGTAATAGTTTATATGTAATGATGGAATGCCTCATAATAGTGTCTATGAGTAAAATTACTTCAAATATATGCTTAATTGCACTAAATTTGGTCACTCAGGCCTACCCTCCTTTGTCCAGTGCTTTGAATCTTACAGATGTGATAGTATAAAATATTAGGTCCATATTATAGAAAAGAGAATAGTCACTGAAAGGCTGAATGACTTGTCCTGTGGGATAGTGCATTAGGCCTCAGCCTCTAAGCCAAAAGACATGGGTTTTACTCCTCAGTCTGATGCTTTCTTGCTGTGCACTCTTGGGAACCTCTTATCCCATTTATAAAATGGGGATATTTTTATGAGTTGGATGAACCTTGTTTGTTCTTAAAACCTTATTGAAGTTGGTAAGTGTGAACTCACCCTTCAGTTAGCTGTAAACATAAGCCCCGCCTAGGACAAAAGGTGTGTGTGAACCTGCCCAGGAGCTTTTAGGCTGAGTATCATTTTGGGTAGGTGTGTTTGGGAGTGTGAGAGAACACACAGATACTGAGATCACAGACCAGAACAGAGAGAGAGAGGCATAGGAAAAGAGACAAGGAAAAGCCAAGCAGAAGTATGGAAGATGCTAGGGAGAATGATTTTTGCGTCTGATGTTAGCTAAAGGGGCCTTGGGGGGCTGGTAATCTAAGAAACTGTTCTTGGTTCCTTCTGCATTCAGAGACAGAGGAATTTGTACAGTTCTTGTATATAAGACTATTTCAAAGAAATACCTGGCTACCACCAATTTCTATACCTAACTGGAACATCCACAGGGGCCCTGACTTTGACTAGCTGCTCAGGTCAAAAAGGGGATAAAAATATTAATGCTTTACCAGGCTCTGAATATTAAATAGAAATATTTTATAGTTCTTAATAAATTCAGCAGTTACCTGCTGTCTAAAGCTCGGAGGAGTACAGAGCACTGCATGATATAGTACAAACATTTGTCAGTATGTCCTATATCTGTTCCCTTCCACACAGTCTGGAGGAGGTGGGAGATTTTTATGATCTATTAATGAGCATAGATTAGGTTGCAGGAAGAGTGACATTTTTTAAAAGAAAATGAGAAGCTATCCATAGAAAAGGAGTGTTCAGGCCTTGCTGGAGGAGTTTGTGTAGTCGTCTGAACATAAAGCTTGCAAATATTTACTCTCAATGAACCAGTCAATAAAGATGTGATTTATGGGAATGCAAACTAAGCCCAAGCGGGGTTTACTTGCATTCTCAAGTTAGACACAGCAAGTTCCAGGCTGTTTACCATGTAGATTTTTTTCAGATGAGGCTTTAAAATATGAAAGTCTGCTTGCTGTTTGTGAAGCGTTCTTCAAGAATGGGGGTTTGCTTTTGTCATTTCATGAAACTTTTTTCCTCTCCAGCTGTAATGCAGTATTGTCTGTGTCAGTTGCTGCTACTCCTAGAGTTTCATTGTACTGTACGTATATAACGTGTAAAGTGTTTTAGGAAGAAAGGTTCTATGTATGGTTAAAATACACTTGCAGTATACTCCATAGGAACAGAATACGTTAAGAAGCTGTTACAGCTTCTTCCCTCTCTCTCCAAGGAAACTCTTAGGCTAAGGATAGTGATTAGTAATTACTAATTCTTAATTGGGGCAATGCTGGCATGAATGTAGCTAAAACAAAGTAAGTTACTGGTGAGTAACCAGACAAGGCCTCTGTCTTGGGCAACTAGATTCCAGTGCCTCAGTTAAGGATCATGTTCTTATGGAATCAGTAAAATAGTTCTAGAATATGGAATTTGCACACACTGTCAGTTCTTTGCCAGCCAGAAATGGAATTTCCTTTTACTTCCTTCTGCAGGGCAAGTTGGAGAGATGCTGGGAGAGGAGCTCAGTGGGTTTCTGTCATCTCTGTAGGCAACAACAGGAGGGAGCAGGGTGCTCAGAGGTGGGTCCAATAACCAATCTTGAGCCCCCTACAGTGTTCACCTTCCCTTCTTTGCCATCTTTTTTGGGGGGAGGTGGGGGGCATGTGTGTGCTTCTCCCCTATTCCCCAGTCTACACAAAAAATATACCTGCATGCAGGGTGGATAAAAATCAATGATTTAAAAAAAAAAATCCAAAAAATCAAAATTTTTTATTTAAATTGGATCTTTTTTATTTAAATCAGATTTTTTTTGCTAAAATGCTTTTTGAGGAAAAAGGCTATCTAAAGATAGTTTTAATTAAGATACATTATAGCTCAAAGATATTTCATCATGGAATAGAGATTATAAATTTTAATTCTATACTATGAGACAATATATTCATGTAATGTTAAAGACAAGTTTTTTAAACGAGTTCCAATAGTTCATGGATTAGGGACCCAATCTTATGGGATTCCACAGGCTTCTGTACAGATTATTTAGGTTAATCTTTCTATCTACCCAATGGGGCTCAGTCTAGAAGATGCCATTAGAGATGCTTAGTTTTGCAGTTCTCAAACTGTGGATTTGTTTTCTAGAGGCAGCGTGCTTGTTAACAGGAAAAAATGTTTTTAAATAAATATATAGAGGTGAGAAATAACAGACCTTAACTCTATTGTTTCTCTGCAAATTTGTGTACAGAGTCAATCCCTTGGACAAAAGGACAAAATTTCAAAAAGTTCAGTGAATAGAAGATTGTTGGGGGTGGAATAGATCTGGACAAGGAGAAGAAGTCTGGAGATAAATGTGAGAAGTGAGGGACATGTGCTTCTTTTGTTAAAATATTGTATGTTTGCTGTTGAAGAAAAAAATCCAGAATACTTAATGTTGTTGTTTTTAGTTACATAAAACCATTTTAATGTCTGTCTGGTGGTGTTCTCCTCCTATACAGCATGGCAAGAAAATCCTCCAAATATTAAGGATTAACTTGTTGAATTGGAGATAGTTCACCTCCCAATGATTTCATAAATATCTGCTTCAATTACTTTTGGTAAATGAAATAACCAAACATTAATTTTCTGATGTAGCTGTAAAACTAATCTGAAACGTTTTCAAAATAAATCCCTGTTTAAAAATATATGGTGTGTACCTTCTAAAAACGAAGCCTACATCTATATCTGAGTTGTGAAGAATATGTATTAAGGTTATAACAACCAACAAGAATGCACTTATGTAGAAAACCATGATTAAATTGAGTTTTCCTGACTAGTGATTTAAATCAAATCCACCCTGCCTGCATGTCTGCATAGTGGTGGTGGGGATTTACAAATGCACCTTGCTAGATCTATTTCTTTCGCTTCCCCAGTTCTGGGATGGGAGGAGATCTTCCCATTCCCTCCAGAGAGCTCCAGGTTTTGGGATAGGGGATGTCACAGGTGATCTACCTGATAACTCTGTCACCTCTCCCTTGTCGCCCCTCTACAACCTGCATCAGATTAGTTTTTTGGCACAGGTGCTCCTTTTATGTTGGTCTTAGGGCTGCTAAAGCCTGTTTAGGCAACCATTGCTGCTCATGCTGGCTTTGCCGCTTCTGCTGATATAGGAGTATATCTGGGTGGGGCTTCAGACTGGAGAAAGGATAGGATCAGGTATGGGGCCCTTAAATACAGAAATAAAATTTCTTAAAAGGTAAACACTGGCCCCTTACTCTGACCATTATTTTTGTGAGGAGTTATGTCAGTGGGTGAAAATCACACTGTAAAGGACACAGCTTGAAATCTAGTCATTTTAAAAAATGAATTAAAGTTTTAGTTTTAACTCAAGGGCAGGTGCTGGACTTATCCTGCCAGTTTTTGTGGTCTTACAATTGCTTTTTTTTTAATGCTTCTCTTTCAGTTTTGCTGTGTAAAACACTCATACCTGCAGGGAGAACTGACAGCTGGTAAGTGGGGACACTGACTATATGTATAGTGCAGTAAGCAATCAAATGAGCAAAAGATGTGGAAGGGGGCTACTTTTCTCTCTCCTGTTTACCTGATGCTCAGCATCACTCATCTTAGGTGTTACTTGTAACAATAGAAAGAAAAAACATTTTCAGAGTGTAATTTTTAGGTTGATCATGTCCTTTTATTAAACTAACAGCTTTTGTAGCTAAAGCAAGCCAGTCAGTCATTGGTCAGATGTGAGTTAACAAAGCCCGTTGCCAACTGTGCCCACATATCTATTCAGGGGACACCATCACAGGGCCTAATAACATCAGCCACACTATCAGAGGCTCGTTCACCTGCACATCCACCAACGTGATATATGCCATCATGTGCCAGCAATGCCCCTCTGCCATTTACATTGGTCAAACTGGACAGTCTCTACGTAAAAGAATAAATGGACACAAATCAGATGTCAAGAATTATAACATTCATAAACCAGTTGGAGAACTCTTCAATCTCTCTGGTCAGGCAATCACAGACATGAAGGTCGCTATCTTAAAACAAAAAAACTTCAAATCCAGACTCCAGCGAGAAACTGCTGAATTGGAATTCATTTGCAAATTGGATACTATTAATTTAGGCTTAAATAGAGACTGGGAGTGGCTAAGTCATTATGTAAGGTAGCCTATTTCCCCTTGTTTTTTCCTCCCCCCCCCCCCCGACGTTCTGGTTAAACTTGGATTTAAACTTGGAGAGTGGTCAGTTTGGATGAGCTATTGCCAGCAGGAGAGTGAGTTTGTGTGTGTGTGTGTGTCCCGGTGGGGGGTGGGAAAGAGGGGGGCTGAGAGAGCCTGGATTTGTGCTGGAAATGGCCCACCTTGATTATCATGCACATTGTAGGGAGAGTGGTCACTTTGGATGAGCTATTACCAGCAGGATAGTGAGTTTGTGTGTGTGGTTTTTGGAGGGGGGTGAGAGAACCTGGATTTGTGCAGGAAATGGCCCACCTTGATGATCACTTTAGATAAGCTATTACCAGCAGGACAGTGGGGTGGGAGGAGGTATTGTTTCATGATCTCTGTGTGTGTATATAAAGTCTGCTGCAGTTTCCACGGTATGCATCGGATGCAGTGAGCTGTGGCTCACGAAAGCTCATGCTCAAATGAATTGGTTAGTCTCTACGGTGCCACAAGTCCTCCTGTTCTTTCTGCATGCTAGAACTGGAACTCTGTTCTGTCCACCAATGCTATTAACCCAGAAACCCAGTCTTCAGAGTAATAGTTGATTAATTTTCCATGAAAATGCAGCCTAAGGCTCTTGCTGAGGACTACATTTTTTGTTGTCTGTGTAATACTTTTATGACGTGAAATGGAGCTGTAACTGATGTACTGAAACTCTGTGTATTATTCCAACTGCTGGCCCATTTTTGCTAGTTTGAGTATAACTTTTAAAATCTACCAATGGGATATGGAAAACAATAACATTAAACAGAGCCTTGTTTTGCTGCTGGCATGACAGAAACCTTAAAGGAGAACCATGCCACACTTTACATTTTTCTTCTTCGATTTTCTTCAGTGTTTCTTCTTAATGTGCGTTTTTGACAGTTAAACTTTGTTTCAGTTTGCATTATAGTGGGCTTATATATACATTCAAATACACATACAAATCTGGATACTAATATTGCTAACATAGCAAATCCTATATAATTGTACTGTGGACTGTATTCTAAGTCACTGGTATAGCACTTTTGAGGAATAATTATTCCTTAGTTCCATTAACTCACTTGGAATTTTTTCCTCATCTCTAGTTTTAATTCCTGCAAGAAATGAATTTCTTGGAAAATCCAGTTAAGAAACAAAAGGAATCCTTCTGTAATAGAAAGTTTATACGGGTGCACTATCTACAAAGGTTGTTATAGGGATACAATTATCTTAAATTTGTTTTAAAATAATATACATTTGGAATCCTTGTGTGAGCATTCTGTATTTTGCAATTCAGTTTCCAGAAAACTTAGCTGAACTTTTTAACGGCAGAGTTTGAGTTAACTAGAAGCAGTCACTGTTTTTTCTCCACAGTGTCTTGATATACCTGCTGGTTAAATTATAATACCAGCTTAAAAACAAGAATGAATTTTTTTGTTTTATTAAAAGATAGAACACAGTTCATCATAAATTAGGCAGTTCTTCTGTGAATGTTTCTATCACTTGTCTGGAATGCTAAGTATTAGCAGCCGTTAAACATTGCTCAAAGAGACATGGGGCTTAAATTTTCTCCAAACAAGGAGTAAGGAAATCAGGATGCTTAGCATCTAGTTTTTGCCCAGTGATTATTCCACAATTTATAGAGAAATGTACTTTTTAGTTTGTGCTCCCAAAATAAGTAGGAATTCAGATACTTCACCCTTAATTTGTATTTTCTGAAGTCCTGGTTCCCTGTACAAACCCATTAAAAAGAAACTACATGAACTTCTAGGGAGCTCAGAAATGATAATAGAGTTTCTTCCTTCCCTGTCCCTCTACCCAGAGGCAAGGCTCAAAGTACTTGTGGAGCTCATGGGCTGAAAGTATAAGCTACATCTGCTATAGCACTAAGAGCTGGAATTCACTGCATCTGTGTGTAGTACAGGCAGTCCTCGACTTTACTACATTCGACTTACAACGAACAGCACTTATGATGTTTCTGAATTGACCCCCTGATTCGACTTACAACAATTGGTTTAGACTTTACGATGCTCGGTCCTGCAGTGGAGTGAATTGTGATTCCGAGTTACAATGTTTCAACTTACAACTCAATTTTCAGGAACCAATGGTGTCATAAGTCCGAGGACTGCCTGTATATCAATTCACTGGCCAGCCCGTAGTTTGCCCAAAAATTCCTGTCTATGCTCCGGCATGGGGAATTTCAGCAGAATGTGGTTCTCTATCGTGAAGGGGGCTGTAAAACCTCCTGTGCATAGACTTTCCTTCCCCCACCTCAGTGGCCTTCTGTGACTGCTCAGTTGGCCATAGTTTGTCCTTAATTATTTATTTTGAAATTTTACACTGTTAGAGGTGAATGGCTTTTGGGGCAGGGAATGTGTGGATGTGGATATGAAATGACAGTTACTCCTGGGGGAGTTCTATGCCAGTGTTCATGTGCAGAATTCCTGTCTGCTGCAGATTTCTTTCCTTCCCCGCAGAAAAATTACTTTCTGACGAGGAAACAAAGGGAAGCTGCACGAATGGTCACATGCCCCTCCCCAGCAGCGTGGGCAAGTTGTTTCGGGCAGCTGGCGGAGAGGTAAATCACTGTGCGGCAGGTGGGGTTTGGGATGGCCCAGCCAGGGCTGAGTCAGAGCCACTGGGCACCAGGGCCAGGTCAGATTAATTCCCTGTCCCTCCCCACCAATTTCCACCCCTGCACGGAGATCAATCCCTGCCGACCTCCAGCCCCCTGCATCCGGACCCCCACCGCTGATTCCCAGTATATGAACCCCCACTGCTGCACCCAGGCCACTCCAGCTTAGCCTCCCGCACTCAAACTCCCACCCTGACAAGCCCTACCCCCCTATGCAGCTGGACCACCCCACTGAGCACCCTGCCTCCCCAACCAGCTGCACCTGGACCCCCATCCTTCCAAGCCCCACTCCCACAGCAGTCGGACCCATCCCTGCTGAGTGAGTTTCCCCCCCCCCCCCACACACACTCAGCCCTAACCACCTTCAACTGGACCCTCTGCAGATTCCCATTGCCCCTTTGCATGCCACACTTGGATCCTGCCGGGCTGAGCCTGCCTGCCCATATCTGATGTGCCTGGTGGAGAGGGGCAGGGCCCTGGGATGTTTCTGGGGCAGGCCTGGCCCTTGCACTGTCAGGTGCAGCCTCGCTGCTGAGTCTGTGTTGGGAGAGGGCAGGGAGCTGCAGGGTGATGTCCCACCTCTGTGCAGCCAGTGGCCTGTGCTCCCCGCTGCCATGCTGGAGCCTCCACATTTATTTATTGACAAAATTTGCAGAATTTTAATTTTTTGACACAGAATTCCCTCAAGAGTCGACAGTCTAGTGGGGCCAGCACCCTTAATGGCTTGGGAAGCTCTGTGACCCTTTGTTTTTGGTAGGTGTTTTATAATCTGTTTCTTGGACTTTTCATAAGATACTGTTAATATACTCACTGGAATTTGGGAGATCTCTATTTTTTTTTCTGCTGTGATTCATGGAATTCTCATGAAAAGGCCATTCTACCCTTCTCTTAATGGTTCTTATGTAGCTAGAACTGTTGTTCAATAACTTCTTTAGGTTATATATTTTTCATTTCATACATAGAAGATGTGATATCTTGTTCACTAAGGAATATCTCGGGCACTTTTTTCCAAGGTTCTCCTATAATGGCATGATTGGCATGAGTAATCTTGTTTAATAGAATGGATGAGATGTAAATTACGACGACAAAACCAAGAACTGTTAAAATAAACCACTAGTTAATCTATAAGTAACATACATTTAGTATTCATAGGGAAAGATGCCCCTCCCCTACTCCTCATTTACAGAGTTATGGAGTGGAACATTTTAATTGATGTCCAAACAGTAACTCTGAAAGAATCTCATGCTGTTGGGCAGCCATACCATATCAGTTTGTAGTACAGTGTTGTGCCTTCTTATTGGGCAAAGCATTTTAAAAATGTTTCTGGAGTTTTATTTGCAGCTGATATAAAAGTGTAGGACTATCTGCATCTGTCTCCACTAGAACGGTGAGGACAGACTATTGCACAGTATTGGTTTTAGTTTTCTGCTGTATGTGTTCTGTTGAAAGAGAAGTCAGGCAAAGGGTACAGGTTAGAATGAATGTTCCCATTCTGCTTATTGTGGCTTGTTCTTTCCCTCTCTTGCTAACACTGACTTATTTGATGTGATTATTTTTGACTTGTTTTAGTCCTCCTTTTTGTTATTTATGCCCTAGTTCATAATTCATGTATGGTGTTGACATTCTCTCTCAGTGCAACATTAACCCAAAAAAACTCCTCCTATAATATCACTTTGGATTTAGCTATATAGGTCTTGTCTGTCTGTCTCTCTCTCTCTCTCTCTCTCTCTTTTTTTTTTTTTTTTTCATTTATTGCTAAATCCACACTGGATTCTGACTTACATCTAAAAGAATAAAAAATGGGTAAGTAGACATTTTTGTTTTCAGTTCCCTTCATGAGAAGGGGTTGTTGCAAGTTTTGATCCTTAAAAGATAATAGCAAAGTTTTTGCAGATGCTTTTCATAGTACGCTCTGAAACTTATTAGTATTGAATTCCTACTTGAGTGCAGTCTTTGGGTATTTATAGCATCATAACTGTCTTACTATTATAAAATGTTTTGGAAGGATTTTTAACTGCCATTTTTAAACAGTAGTGTTGCACTGAAACTTAGTATTTGAGTTTTTGGCTTAAAAATGAATTTATGTGTATATTGTCTATATCTGTTAATTAATTCAAATCTAAAGTGACCAAAAATAATTTCAGGTGCTTGTTTTAGGTATTTTTCTTTTTTTCATGTTGAAAAAAGATTCTGTACATATCCAAATACATTATTATCTACATACAATTTTTGTCTACATTAAATGTTTTGAAACAGTTTTCATTAATACTCAGTGTTTCAGTAATAACCAGTGGCCCCAGCTAGGACTGGGGCACCATTGTGCCATACACTGTGATTATAGAGGCAGGCATGATCCCTGATCTGAAGGGTGTAATTTTTTGAGTCCTATCTGAAGGTATTTGTTTTTTTGGGTGTAAAGTTCTCTTTTTCCAAATACCGTAGAAATATTTAGTCACATTACCATGTAGTTGCTATTCTTGGAGTATATACTAGTAATTTTTGAATGAAAATTACAGCAGTATGTTTTCTCTGAGCTTCACTATGAATAAAAACCATCTGATCTTGAACAGATACTTTATTTTGTTATATTTGCTCTCATAGGGCTAGATCCTACGTTTATTAAAGTCAGTGACAAAGCTCACATTTACTTTAGTGCAAGATTAAGGCCATAATTCAAGTGCAGAAAGTCTAAACTGCATCTTTCTGTGAAAATGTTTTGACTGCCTATATTTGTATCTTTTTTTAGACTAATCTGGTGACTTTATTTGCTGCAGTAAACCAGTTCCTCTAGTCTATGTAATTACATACAAATAGTAAAATATAGAAAGGTGTAAATCTGAAAGGGGCATTGGCTACAGAAAGACACACAGTTTGGGATGGGAATACCAACACATTTTGGACAGGTATGCAAACTTTAAATTTATTTTAATTTCAAAGGAGATTTCAGATTAACCAGGGTTTTTTAAATAGATAACTAGATTAGCCAAGCAGTCCCTTAAGGCTCATCCTCTCAGTTTCCTTGTTTTTAAATTGTTCATTTCTTCCTAACCATTCTTAGGAAAGGCTAATAACATGAAATATCCAAACACTTTTCCTTATGCTACATCAACCACATATTACATTTATATCTTTCACATGCTCTTTTCTTACCACCACAGAGGGTATTCTTGATTTCATTAGAGCAGTGAGATATTGGCTGTACAAGGTGCTTGTCTTAAGTCAAGATATAACTTGAATTTTGCCTGCAACCTGTTTTACAGGTACACAGGCAAAGCTTGTATGCTTTAGAACAGTAAACAAAATTATAAGAAGAGATCCCATACTTCATCATAGTGCAAAAGCTTGCTCAAGAAATAATAATCCTCACACCTTGATTTTTGCCTGTGCCATATATTTTTCACAATTTAATAAAGCACAATCTTTTGTCATAGATGAAAGGATAAGAATATTTCTCATTTTGGGTGTGAATATATAGTTAATATTTGTCATATTTTAAATAGTTGCAAATTATCACTTGATAAATGATACGAGTGTAGGTGTGACAACTTGGTCTTAGCTCTGAGCATTTAAAGGGTAGGGTTTAATACAGTGTGAGGAATTGGGAAGATCCATATGTCTTGGTTGACCTTTACTGTTGAGTCAGATTAGTTTCAGTCTCCAACTACAAATCAAACAGGGCGCTTGTAGCAATTATAAGTCGCCTGTAAATAATGTAAAGTTGAGAAGGCCGTAGTAACTGTAGGTTTTTCCCTGAAATCATAATTTAAAAAAAAAATTTGTCCCTTGAATTCTTCTGTCTTGTGCATAGACATTCTGAAAGGTCTTTCATTGATTATATAATGCTGTCTGTAAAACAGAGCAGAAGTTGTTACACAAATGTGGTGGTAGTTAAAAGCTTTTTTGGCTTTCTGATCGTTCAAAAATGGCCAAACTAAAATGTTCGAATTCAGGGATGGGAGAAGAATCTTGCTGTAATCAGCCATATCAAATGGTTGACAGTGAGGAAGCTTTAGTTTATAAACAACCATTTAATTGCAAATTCCTCTTACTTTCTATTTGCTAATTACATGTAATTGCCAGGGGAATAGAAGAACACTTGTGATCAGTTGTAATAAATTTCAGGAGTTTAAAAATGAAAAGTGCTGCTGCTAACAGTATCTGCAGATTTGAATGCATCCAAATAATACATAAAGGTTTTTAAGTTGAAAGAAATTTAAATTTAAAAAGTAGTTTGTGTGCATATTGGGCGAGGGGAGTCGTGTAAGGTTCTTTTAGGCATTTATTTTGTTAAACGTTATTGGTAGTCCTGATCACTGCATTTATATGCAGCATTTCTCCACACTCTGAATCATCTTAACCATTCATGTAGTTCAAATGCCCTTTTTTGTAGAAGGGGAGAAAGATGTTCTTGTTCCATGTTTCCTGTAAGCACTAGATAATGAGACTCTGATAAATCTGAACACCTACTTCCCTTGACTTTGTGGCTGCCTCGTAGGAGCGGAAGCTTTCTTTTCCTTCTCTTCTTCCATTCCAGAGTCTCTTGACTGGGAGAGAGGAGTGATAATAGCTATTTTCTTCACTAATTGGCTCCTGAAAGAGTGAGAATGTTCCCTCCTTTTCTAATCCTCATCCAGCTCCCTGGCTGCTATGGGTGGTGGATCTCCATTATTCTGCCTTTCCCTCTAGTCCAGGGATCTCAAACTCAAATTACCAGGAGGGCTGCATGAAGACTAATACATTGGCCCGAGTGCTGCATCACTGACACTGCCTCCGCCCCCCACCCCCTGCTGCAGCTGGCCCCGACCTCACTCCACCCCTACCCCACCCCCATTCCAACCCCTTCCCCAAAGTCCCCACCCCAACTCCGCCCCCTCCCTGCCCCTGTTCCAACCCCTTCCCCAAATCCCTGCTCCTGCCCCACCTCTTCTCCGCCTCCTCCCCTGAGCACGCGGCTGCCTGCTCCTCCCCCCTGGAAACCGCTACGTGCTGCCAAACAGCTGTTTGGTGCCGGGGAAGTGCCTGGAGGTAGGCAGAGGAGCGGGGACGAGGTGACCTGGGGGGGGGGCAGTGGGGGAGGGGAGGTTGGCGGCTGCAGGAAATAACTGGGAGGGGACCGGGGGGGGAGGACATGGGGAGCTTGGCGGGCCGCAGCAAATAACTCCGCGGGCCACGTGTTTGAGACCCCTGCTCTAGTCTCTATTTTGAGTTGTCTGCCCTTGTGAACAGCAGTAGTGCTCACCACTGCTGCTACTCATAGGTTTTTCGTGCCCCAGAGGGTGAAATTGGAATTCTGATATGCTCTCAACATATTGGGAATTGTAGTAGTGAAACTGATAGTTTTCACAAGCAACAAAAGACTATGAGCAATGACAGAAGCATTGAAGTGGCCTGTCTGCAGACTCAGGAAGACAGTAGTGTACTGTTTTATGTTTGGCTCCCATTCAGAAGGAAATCTTCCCAATCATAAGAGCTAAGGACGTAATTTCTTCTAAACTACATGGCTGGACCCCCATGAATGCCAGAGACAACGTTCTCTTCACAACTGTTTAGAGGGAGAGTGGATTTTCAAACATTGAATTTTATATATTAATACGTCTTTCCCCTCTAACTGCCAGAACTTTTACAGCACTTTCCTTTCAGCTTGGCAGATTCTCTTTCCCTAAGGCCAGTGTTGGTAATCATTTATCAGTCAGTTGATAGAGAGTACTCCCACTGTATTTTTCTTCGCTTCAGTCAGAGATCAAAAACATCACTGTCCTGATGAGCCTTGTTTTTGCTGGTAAGGAGGCAGGATTATAAAATGCCATCAGTTCAGTGCTATTTGTGGTAAGAGACTTTGAAGACTTTTTTTTATATATAACCTGGGAGTTCTGTTGCTTTGAACACTTAATTTTTGGCAAAAATCTCTCTACTGTGAAAACTCTTCTTCCTCAATCATGTGCATTTGCCTCTGGCTTATGCTTGTTGTTATCATTGGGGTACTGATTTTAAACAAATCATTCAAAGAGCTATATTACATCTCACTTGTCTTGTATTTAACACTTCTCTAACACTTTTTGGGGTTCACAGATTTGTTTGTAAATGAATCACAAAGAGGCAGCCCAGAATGAAGAAAGCAAGCAGGTCTGTTGGCTCAGTGCCCAAAGTGCCCGGGATAAATAAAACTCAAACAATAGAAAAAATCAAACCAGAAAACGGCTCCTCAGTGTCTGCAGTAACAAAACTCTCAAAAACTGGAACATCAACATCCCTGCTGAAGGTAAGCTCTAATAGACTGCCTTGATTTTTTTGGACAGTAAGGGATTTGGAAGGATAGAATTTTAGAATAAGTATACTGATGCAGTGGAAAACTGGGATTCATAATCTCTCAATGACTGAAGAGAATTTCAGTAGTTACACAATGCAGGACATAATGAGAGATTACGAATGCTATGGTCATTAAGTATTGCTGCTTTTGATGTGTTTATATGTACTATGGTGGAAGGCAATGCACCTTATGGAACTTAACTTTCCTGACTTCTCTGTAAAAAGGGGAACTGAGCTGCCTTCCACTGGGCGTCATGAATCGCTGTCTCAAACGGAGTGCCATGTGTTGCTCTTGAATAAGTTTCTTTGACTGACTCGTGGAGTGGTAGTAGGATGTGATAAGCTCTGTGTAAAGATTAAAAATTCCAATTGAAATTTCTCAAGATGGATACTTCAGTGGGGAATTGAGAGGACTATATTTTAAGAGACTGCGTGTTTGGTATACTTAACATTGGTGACTGGTGTCAGATCCCTGCAGCCGCACTGTTCCTGTAGTTTTCTATGCTCTCTCCATTTTGTATCAGGAGTGGAGCTTCAGCCTAACTGGTGTGTGCTGCTCCTACTTTCCATCTTCTTATTTATCTTGTAGGTTTTTCCTTACTCTCAGCTTAACAAGGCACCAGGCTTTGGAGTATATGTGCACATCACATTGCACCTTTTACGTCCCCTGGGCCCTTTAAAATTGAGTGGTGTAGTCTCAGGGAACATCACTGGGAGCAAGCATGTGACTTACAGGAAGCCAAGTATAATCTTTCTTGCCTCTCAGATGGGTGGCAGACAGGAGAGACCCACGATCTGGGAGATCCATGTCCGGGGTTTCCAAAATAACCAGACAGGATTACCAAAATCAAAGGGTGTTCCTCTCCCCTACCAGCTAATAGAAATTAGGAAAGTCTTAGATAGTTACTACCCTGAATTTTGTGACGTTTGTTTTGGGATGTTGTTTTAACAATAAAATGAGCCTTGAATACAGGGACATGTGAAATGCCTTGTACTTGGGACTTTATTTTCTCTCCCCAGCTGGTGAATCTGCACATTCTTATGTTTAGAAATAGATTCCTGACAAAACATTGTTTGTACCTTGCATCCTGTTTAATACAAAACCGTCTTGTGATACGTAGCCATTCTGAGTAGTGTCCAGTGTCATCGACAACTGTCCTCTTAAGAGCTGACTGGCATGTACTTCTGATTGTGGTATGTAGCTTACTCATCAAGAGCTTCCAGCTGTCATACCTCCAATCAAAACAAAGAAGAGAATGATCTATCTAGCTGTCTCTGAAAGGATTTGGCCTACTGTGTGTTTACAATTTTCTTTCTTTATCGGTAGCACTTCAGGCAACTCAGGTGTACAGTTTTAAAGAGTATTATGCCAATTACACGTATCTTAGGCAGAGCAAGAAATTCCCTTCTTAACTAGTGACTGAGCGTTGTTGCACCTTAAGGGTTTTAGCTAGGTTTTAGTGACATAGCTGAGTGACTCATTCTCATGCGGTTGTCATCATGCCAGCTGTGTGAAATAAAACTATGTACATCTTTCAACTGTTCCCATATGTAGGAGAAGTTGGAAGGTTGTAGTTTGTAGACTTAAGCGCGCTGGCAATTTATATGTCTGAGGGAGTTAAAATATCAATAAGCTACTGCCATTTTAAAAGGAACTTATCTATGTAATTTTATCATTTATGGTGTTGTCTATGAAGCCTCTGGCATGCTGTCATCTTCATGCAGAAAATGTCATCTAACCTTAAAATTTATTGGTGTCTGTTGTATTTTTTTTGTGAATTTTAATACATATTCCTAGACAAAAGTTGTTTAGCTGGAGTTACGATTGAGAACATATCCGTAATTCAGGTTAAAATTAGGGCTGTCAAGCAATTAAAAAAAGTAATCGTGTGATTAAAAAAATTAATTGCACTGTTAATGATAGAATACCATTTATTTAAATATTTTTGGATGTTGTCTACATTTTCAGATATATTGATTTCAATCACAACACAGAATACAAAGTGTACAGTGCTCACTATTTATTTTTTTTACAAATATTTGCACTGTAAAAAACCAAAAAATAGAATTTTTCAATTCACCTAATACAAGTACTGTAGTGCAATCTCTTTATCATGAAAGTTGAACTTACAAATGTAGAATTAAGTAAAAATAAAAACTGAATTCAAAAATAAAACCTGCATTCAAAAACTGCATTCAAAAATTGCTCGGACAAAGAAGTTTGCTTACATTAGCAGGAGGTAATGCTGCCCGCTTCTTGTTTACAATGTCACCAGAAAGCGAGAACAGGCGTTCTCATGGCACTGTTGTAGCCAGCGTTGCAAGATGTTTACGTACCAGATGCGCTAAAGATTCATATGTCCCTTCATGCTTCAACAACCATTCCAGGGGACATGCATCCATGCTGATGATGGGTTCTGCTTGATGATAATCCAAAGCAGTGCAGACCAACGCATGTTAATTTTCATTATCTGAGTCAGGTGCCACCAGCAGAAGGTTGATTTTCTTTTTTGGTGGTTCGGGTTCTGTAGTTTTCGCATCGGAGTGTTTCTCTTTTAAGATTTCTGAAAGCATGCTCCACACCTTTCCCCTCTCAGATTTTTGGAAGGCACTTCAGATTCTTCTTTCTTGGGTCGCGTTCTGTAGCTATCTTTAGAAATCTCATATTGGTACCTTCTTTGCGTTTTGTCAAATCTGCAGTGAAAGCGTTCTTAAAATGAACATGTGCTGAGTCATCAATTGAGATTGCTATAACATGAAATATATGGCAGAATGCAATTCTCCCCCAAGGAGTTCAGTCATAAATTTAATTAACGCATTATTTTTTAAATGAGTGTCATCAGCATGGAAGCATGTCCTCTGGAATGGTGGCTGAAGCATGAAAGGGATACGAATGTTTAGCATATCTGGCATGTAAATTCCTTGCAATGCCTGCTACAAAAGTGCCATGTTCTCACTTTCTGGTGACGTTGTAAATAAGAAGACTACCGCATTATTTCCTGTAAATGTAAACAAATTTGTTTGTCTTAGCGATTGGCTGAACAAGAAGTAGGACTGAGTGGACTTGTAGGCTCTGAAGTTTTACATTATTTTGTTTTTGAGTGCAGTTATATAACAACAACAAAAAATCCACATTTGTGTTTCACTTTCACAACAAAGATTACAGTACTTGTATGAGGTAAATTGAAAAATACTATTTTTGTTTATAATTTTTACAATGCAAATATTTATAATTAATATACACTTTGCTTTCAATTACAACACAGAATACAATATATATGAAAATGTAGAAAAACATCAAAAATATTTAATAAATTTCAATTGATATTCGGTTGTTTGTTTATGTGATTAAAACTGTGATTAAAAACTGTGATGAGTTAACTGTGATTAATCGACAGCCCTAATTAAAATACCTAAATAGTGATGTAATTTTATATAGATCATTATATAAACACAGAACACTCAATTAAAGTTAAACTTAAAGAAATCCAAACAAGATTTGGAAATGCACAGTTAAGGCACTCAAACACCAACCTGTAGTGACACCATGTAATTAATCATAAAATTATTATGGTTCATAATAATTTTTTTGGTTCCAGATCAGACTGAACTCATTAAACTGATATTTAAAGACACACTTTTTCTCTTCTTTTTTTTTTTTTTTCTCCTCATGGTGTCACTGCAGGGCAGTGTTAAGTTTGTCTGGGAGACTTAACTGCATTTTGTCCTCAGGAGCCCTGCCTCATTCAGTGCAAAGAATGGATGGAACTCTGGGAATGAATCTCAGTTGTGTAGTTAATACAGTGGTTGTTGGCAGGACCCTCACCTGTTTTGTTGAAGAAGCAGGAAGATGTGCGATGGAGATAGGACTGCAGGAAGAGAAAGTATGATCACGTGGTTTAGTCAGATGAATGTCATCCCAGAAAACTGGATTATATCTCTGCCTCTGCCACAGTGTTTCTATATGATGCTGGGGAAGTCACTTAATTGAATTTTTTCACAGGTGGCTGCTAACTGTTTTTCTCATTTTCTGAGTTCCCAAATTAAGACACCTGAAGTCCTATTTACAGAAATGCTGAGCACTCGCAACTGAAGTCAATAAGAGCTCTGCTCTGAACATGTAAAGTGCTATAAACTGATAAATTTTCTGGAAAATCAAGACATAGGGTTTGTTTACATGGAGGCATCCAAGAAAGTTAATCTGAATTAACTAATGGTGTGAATTTGAAGTGGTCAGTTAAACCACATTAAATCCCCATGTGAGTACTTTTATTCAAAATCAAAAAAGTCTTTAATTCAGTTTAGCTTAATTCATGGTGAATCTTAAGAGCTAGGTTTTGGCAATTGCCGGTTGAAACTTCAACATATTGTAGTCATCCAGTCTTAAGAATTTCTGCCATGTAATCAAAGGTGGTAAGTGTTGCAAACAGAAGAAAGCCAAATCTCAGAGTAGCAAATTTATTTACACATTTTCTTTTCATTTTAAGTGTTATGATTATATAAAATCAATAACCTTCTGCCTCTTTATTTACAAAAAAAATTGTTTTAAGGGTTTTAAATTCAGTCAATCTAATTAATGACTTGGCATTTCTAGAGTTTGATTTATATTGAACAGTGAAAACCAACTCTTTGGGCTTGGGAAGGCACACATCCCAACAAACAGACCATCTTTTCAACCAGTAATGAAAAAGAGAGAATTTTTAAAGCTTCATTACTTACTTTCACTAATATTTCATTCTGTGAACAAAAAATGATACAGCAATTCAGTTCTCTGATCTGGGAGGGAGAGAGGATTCAAACTGTCTGTAACCTGGTCTATGCTAAACTTCAGTATAACTGCGTCGCTCAGGGGTGTGAAAAATCCATCCCCCTGAGTGATGTTGTTATACCAACCTTAACCCGCAGTGTAGACAGTGCTATGTCAGCGGGAGAGCTGCCTACTGCCTCTCACAGGGTTGGAGTTATTAAGCTGATGGGAGAGCTTTCTCCTGTCAGCTTAGAGTGTCTTCACCAGAAGCACTACAGTGGTGCAGCTGCACTGATTTTATTCTATTGTATTTATTGTATTTTATTGTATTGCACTGTATTTACTGTATTGTAGACTTGCCCTGTATTTCAGTAGCGCAGAAAAATTTAAAGGATGGGGTTAGTTTTACAGCTGCTCAGAACTATACATGCACCTGCAGTGAAACTGATGATTTGCATTTATACTTTGGAATAGGATGCTTATATAGATGCACTGGTATCCAGGGTTCTTGCATTGAAATAGTCTTAAAAACTTTTTAAAAACTTGTTTCAAAGTGCTAGAATAGTAGATTATGCAGTGGTATTGAAGCTGTGTCAATCCTACAATACTAGAGAGACAAGGTGGGTTAGTTAATATCTTTTAGTGGACCAACTGCTGTTGGTGAGAGACACAAGAAATGATAAAAGACAAACACCATATCACCTGTGGGTGAACACTTTTCAGTAAAAAGAAAAGGAAGAGTTGTGGCACCTTAGAGACTAACAAATTTATTCGAGCATAAGCTTTCGTGAGCTACAGCTCACTTCATCGGATGCATCACGAAAGCTTATGCTCAGATAAATTTGTTAGTCTCTAAGGTGCCAGAAGTCCTCCTTTTCTTTTTGCAGATATAGGCTAACACGGCGGCTACTCTGAAACTTTTCAGTAAGTGATCGCTCTATATCTAATCTGTTAGTCCTTATCCTCAAAGGAAACCTGCACAACAAAAGACGAGCGTGGGAGCTTAAATTCATAACTTTGCTAGCTACTAAAAATCATGGTCTTAATAAAGACGCTGAATTTATGGCTTATTACAGCAATCTGTAACTCACTAATTCCTGCCCCCCCTTTTTCCCCTATGACAACAGTGTGTTAACAGGCACTTCATGATCCCTTAGAATATGTGCTAACTACTTAAGATAAACTATCTGTTTAATCTTGTATTTAGTTGTGGCACTCTCAGGCTTGGTCTGCACTAGTTAGGTGCAAGTAAGGCAGCTTACCTCAACGTAATTATGTCAGTGTCTTCTCTGGAATGCTGCTTCCACCGAAGTAAATGGCCGCCACACTGACGACATAACTCCACCTCCACAAGAGGTGTAGTGCTTATACTGGAGTAGATAAGGCGACACTGTGTCCATGTAGACACTGCATTACTTCAGCTGTTGGTTGTCATTCTTGTCAGTTTCATGGCTGCTATTGTGTCTCCTTCACATCCTTGTCAATTTCACAGGGCTGTGAATTTTGCTGCTGGTAGGATCCTTGCTGTGAAATTGAGCCCCCCAAAGCTGATGGCTGGGCACTGGGCTCACAGCTGGAGCCCTCACTCCGGCATGACCACCTGAGCTGTGAGCCTGGTGTGAGGCTCAATTTCACAGCCAGGAACCTACCAGCACAATTTCAGGGCTCCAGCTGTGAGCTGCCCACCCCCTCCCCCATGTTAGTTTAATCGCTGGTAGGCTCCATAAGCCTCCGCCAGGCTCACAGCTTTGGCTGGCACACCAGGGAGGGTGGGGGCTACAGCTGTGAGCTCTGCATGGCTGTTAGTGCCCCACACTTGGCTGTCAACTGGTGTAGGCACTCCTGGTGGGGACATGTGACACTGGCAGAAGGAGGGTAGTGTGGACACCAACAGCTGATTGAATTACTGTGGTAGCTGTAGGTTGACCTAAATTAAGTCCACCTAATTTTGTTGTGTAGACAAGCCCTTAGTACCTTTCCCAGACATGAATAAGAGCTCTGTATAACTCAAAAGCTTGTCTCTCTCTCTCTCACCAACAGAAGCTGGTCCAATAAAAGATATTACCTGACCCACCTTGTGTGTCAGAATAGTGGATTGACTAATAGTGGGTGTTATCTAAGCAATAATGTACTGAATGTGTTTTTTAGATCTTAAAATATATTGTGTTTAAAAATATTCACTTGTAATAACAGCAGCTTTGATTAGTCAACATTTCCGGTCCTGCACTTCATATCCAGTCATGTTAATATCGTTTTCCCTTTTCAGACAAAAAGTAGTGATGACCTTTTAGCGGGGATGGCTGGTGGTGGGGTGACTATGACCAATGGTGTGAAGGCAAAGAAGAGCACCTGCACATCTACAGCATCTTCAGCTTCAGGGACCACCATGAACAACGTGGAGAATAAACCCAAGACTATTACAGGTACAAGGAGATATTAGTCTCAAAGGGTTGTTTCCTTGGCTTTTTGTTGTTCCGTTATGAAACCATTGCAACTCTTCCATAGGCAGGGTACAAAGCATCTAACAAAGAGCTCAGCAAAGGCCAGGCCAAATAGAACACTCTGCCAATGACCCTACTCACCCAGTTTGTATTGATAAAATATTCACCTGCAAATCCTTACATATACTATTTTTTTATATTGGTCATTTAGCTTTTTCTATAGTGGTATTCACTGGGACCAACAACTAGTGTAGACACATGCTGCTAGAAAAATCCCTACTTTGGTCATTAAAGGTTTTAGGTAAGGGATGAATATCTTCAATACAGGCTGTTAAGCTAATAATCTCTACTCATGTACTTAAATAAGGAGAAATAATTTTGTAAAGCCTTCAGGCAGGTGTGACATTCCATAGTGTTTATCACAACACAATTAGTAGAAATATGTTTGTTGTCCGATTGGTAGTTTTGGGGCTCAGTAAAGTTAATAAAATTGTAAGTCACCTTGCAGTTAAGAAGTGATGCTGCTGCTCTCTGCTTCAGCATTTTTGAGTGAGAATGGTGAGAAATTGAATTTGATGGTGAGAATATTTAAATACACTGATTTCATTCTTGGATCAGAATATACATGTTTATAAAAAGTACTCAAATGGGAACTGTGTTCCCACACCTAAACGTGAAGATGTACCTATGATCTGTGAACTTAAAGAAAGAATATCAAGTATCTTACATATAGTTACTCTTCATTTTTTTTTATACAATTTATTAGAAACTTTGGGGGAGAATCTCTTTTCCTCTTGCAAACAATAGATTTTTTAATCCTTGTTTTGAGGGGGGCTTAACATGTCTTCAGACACTGTAAAGAATATTTAAACCTTATTTGAGACTCTCATAAATAGATTGTACATATTTCATTTCAAAAGTGTGGTTTGGAATGTCAGCCCTTTTATAATCATAGCAACATATATAGTCATATGTAATTTCATACCTGTACTCACGTTGCTGATTTTTTAAATGAATTAAAATTACATTTTTAAAAACATACAGGTTTGACCTCCACAGCCAAGCGTAGCACTTCATCTGGAAATAAAGAATCTAGCTCTTCTAGGGAAAGAATACGCGATCGTTCCCGTCTGAACCAAAGCAAAAAACTGCCTTTGACAGGACAGGGGACTAATGATACCATTCTGGCAAAACGCTCCCGTAGTCGTACTAATCCAGAGTCTGATGTTCGGATGAGCAAATCCAAATCGGACAATCAAATTAGTGACAAAGCTGCTTTGGAAGCTAAAGTGAAAGATCTTCTGACTTTAGCAAAAACTAAAGATGTGGAGATTTTACACTTGAGGAATGAACTCAGAGACATGCGTGCTCAGCTTGGCCTTAATGAAGATCAGCCTGAGGGTGATGAGAAGTCTGAGGAAAAAGAGGCCATTGTTGTTCACCAGCCAACTGATGTAGAGTCTACATTATTGCAGTTACAAGAGCAAAACACTGCCATCCGAGAAGAACTCAACCAATTGAAGAATGAGAATCGAATGTTGAAGGACAGATTAAATGCATTGGGCTTTTCTTTGGAACAAAGGCTAGACAACTCTGAGAAACTCTTTGGCTACCAATCTTTGAGCCCAGAGATCACAACTGGTAATCACAGTGATGGTGGTGGCACTCTTACATCTTCAGTGGAAGGTTCTGCTCCTGGTTCAATGGAAGATTTGTTGAGTCAGGACGAAAACACCTTAATGGACAATCAACATAGTAACTCCATGGATAATTTAGACAGTGAGTGCAGTGAAGTTTATCAGCCACTTACATCAAGTGATGATGCCTTAGATGCTCCATCGTCTTCAGAGTCTGAAGGAGTACCAAGCATAGAAAGATCTAGGAAAGGAAGCAGTGGCAATGCAAGTGAAGTTTCTGTAGCTTGTCTGACAGAACGAATACACCAGATGGAAGAGAACCAGCATAGTACATCTGAGGAGCTTCAAGCAACGCTTCAGGAACTTGCAGATTTACAACAAATAACTCAAGAGCTGAACAGTGAGAATGAAAGACTTGGAGAAGAAAAAGTAATTCTTATGGAATCCTTGTGTCAGCAGAGTGACAAGTTAGAACACTTCAGCCGACAGATTGAATATTTCCGCTCCCTTTTAGATGAACATCACATCTCATATGTTATTGATGAAGATATGAAAAGTGGGAGGTATATGGAGTTAGAGCAACGTTATATGGACCTTGCTGAGAATGCTCGTTTTGAACGAGAGCAACTGCTGGGTGTCCAGCAGCATCTGAGCAACACTTTGAAGATGGCAGAGCAAGATAACAAGGAGGCCCAAGAAATGATAGGGGCACTGAAAGAACGGAACCACCACATGGAACGAATTATTGAGTCAGAGCAGAAAAGTAAGGCAGCATTAGCAGCCACCTTAGAGGAGTACAAAGCCACAGTAGCCAGTGATCAGATTGAGATGAACCGGCTAAAAGCTCAGCTGGAGCATGAAAAGCAAAAAGTGGCTGAACTGTACTCTATACACAACTCTGGAGATAAATCAGATATACAAGATTTGCTGGAGAGTGTCAGGCTGGACAAGGAAAAAGCAGAGACTTTGGCTAGCAGTCTGCAGGAAGAGCTGGCTCTCACTCGCAATGATGCCAATCGATTGCAGGATGCCATTGCTAAGGTAGTGTTCAAACAATTATATTCTATATCTTATACATATAAGCCTCCAACCCTCCCTCTACTGTTCATTACAGTTTTTCAATTTGTTCCTTGGAGTTATTTGACCAGTTACGAGCTTTACCAGAATGTGCCTATATTCAAGATTTTTCTACTGGATCTTATGTACAAAAAAAGTGTATCCTTTTATGAAGCTTTTTACATCTAAGCGCAGTTGTACTGGATTACGCATATAAATGACTCGTTTTTAAGGGAAAATATAGATGTGTAAAACCTTAGTTGGAATTAAGCAAATCATTGTTTTTAAATATTGCCTTGAGCAGGTGTAAATAATTTATAGTTGATTTACTTTGGGGGTACCTCATGCGTTGTACTCTAATATTCTTTCTCAATAATTAGCATAAAATGATGAAAATATTAGCTCAGGGCTTAAACCTTGTTCTTGCAGTCAGGTTTGTGTGTGTGTGGGAGGGGGGACTATTACTCATTTTTCTGGCTGCTTCTCATTTCAGCTTGTGATTCAGTACTATCCTGAAAGAAAAGGAGTACTTGTGGCACCTTAGAGACTAACCAATTTATTTGAGCATAAGCTTTTGCGAGCTACAGCTCACTTCATCGGATGCATACTGTGGAAAATACAGAAGATGTTTTTATACACACAAAGCATGAAAAAATGGGTGTTTATCACTACAAAAGGTTTTCTCTCCCCCCACCCTACTCTCCTGCTGGTAACAGCTTATCTAAAGTGATCACTCTCCTTACAATGACAGGTTTCAGAGGAACAGCCGTGTTAGTCTGTATTCGCAAAAAGAAAAGGAGGACTTGTGGCACCTTAGAGACTAACCAATTTATTTGAGCATGAGCTTTCGTGAGCTACAGCTCACTTCATCAGATGTATGAAGTGAGCTGTAGCTCACGAAAGCTCATGCTCAAATAAATTGGTTAGTCTCTAAGGTGCCACAAGTACTCCTTTTCTCCTTACAATGTGTATGATAATCAAGGTGGGCCATTGGAGAGAACCTGGATTTGTGCTGGAAATGGCCCACCTTGATTATCATACACATTGTAAGGAGAGTGATCACTTTAGATAAGCTGTTACCAGCAGGAGAGTAGGGTGGGGGGAGAGACAACCGTTTGTAGTGATAAACACCCTTTTTTCATGGTTTGTGTGTATAAAAACATCTTCTGTATTTTCCACAGTATGCATCCGATGAAGTGAGCTGTAGCTCACGAAAGCTTATGCTCAAATAAATTGGTTAGTCTCTAAGGTGCCACAAGTAATCTTTTTCTTTTTGCGAATACAGATGAACACGGCTGTTACTCTGAGTACTATTCTGTTACTGCTTCACTTGTCATGTGGTGGGATGCTTGGTAGATTCTGAAATAAATTCAGCTCGGAAATAAAAGCTTAACTGTGAAAGTGGTCCAAATTGATAGTTGCAGTGCAACCAAAAGTTACGTATCACACATCACACCTTGGTCCAGATATAGCAATTCCTAATGAATTTACATAAAGCTTCTCAATTCACATAACACTTCTTGATATTAAATTTAGTTCTTATGAGATTTTAAAAAATATTTTAAGGATGATTGCTATGGCAGTGAAATGCAACCAATTTTTATCTTAAGAGTTCATCTTTGTCCTGAATTCATTATGGTCACTTAATGGTTGTTCTTCAGGTTGAAGATGAATACAGAGTCTTCCAAGAAGAAGCCAAGAAGCAAATTGATGATCTCAATATGACTCTAGAAAAGCTTCGGGCAGAGCTGGAGGAAAAAGAGACTGAAAGAAGTGACATGAAAGAAACCATCTTCGAGTTGGAAGATGAAGTAGAGCAACATCGAGCTGTGAAACTTCATGACAACCTCATCATATCTGACTTAGAGAGTAAGTGATACGAATTCCTCTTGTAGTTTCATTTTAACTTGAAAACAGCTGAAACAGGATAGTAAAAGTATTTTAATTGTGGTTTGCACATGTTATTTGAAATCAGAATAAACCTTGCAGAAAGAAAGAACTCAGCTTGACTTTGGGCTTGCAGGACTAGTAGTTGGGGATGGGGCCGGACACATGTACATTGAGAAAATATGAACTGGCAATCGTGAGAATAAATATGAAGCCTCAGTGCCATTTTGAGTCACTTTTCAAGCAGAACTGCATGTAGTTATAGATTCAGATTGTGGCTTATTACCTGTGATTTGATTTAATTCTGTCTGGGAGAACCCAAGTTCTCTTATCTCTCCAGTACAGCAAAGATACATAAACTTCCAAAAGTTAAATAGATCTACATCTGAATAATTTGATTGTTTCTAGACCAAGAAAAGTCTCCCTGTTGAAGAAAATGTATTTTCAATGGAGAAATTGGACAGGGACCCTAAAGAATTTTGCATATACTGTTGTCTTCATGGTCACATCCATGTGTACTTGCTCAAACTGTGAAACTGAAAATGAATTTGGCAGCTCTGGTTGGGAAAACTTTCTATCCTGTTGTCTCTTAGCGTCCATTTCCTGAATAGCGTGGCTCAAGACTCACTCAAAGCATCCAGCAAAAATCATGCCTGCCAGTCTTGCCTAGTAGTTCAGTGGGGAGTGTCTATGTCTGAAAATCTGAATATAGATTGTCACGGTTACAGAGCTAGCAGCACCTTTGTCCCCCTTCCGGTCTTTCAGAGTGCATTGTCGCAAGTGTCAGGCTTCATGCCTTTTACATATCTTGGTATGGAAGTCTGCATTTGTCCCACTCTGAGCCCAAGCCCTGAGCTACAGTACCTTGTGGATTAACCATGCTTACCCAGCACATCTGACTGAGTTCAGAGACCTGCAATTCTTCCCTTTGGGAGTCTGTGACCAGTAGTATACAGTGACAAAACATCCTTCTTAACATCAAAGTAATGTTTGCTTCAACAATAGGGACAAAGCCTTTAAAGAATAAGGATCTTAAAACAACATTCTACATACATGTCTGTCTTACCTAAAGACTTAGTTTCCTGAGTTTCAGAGTAGCAGCCGTGTTAGTCTGTATCCACAAAAAGAAAAGGAGTACTTGTGGCACCTTAGAGACTAACCTGAGTGTAACTTCAGTAGGCATAACATCTTTAGATGCCCTGGCAGGTGTCTTCATATCAGTTTACTTTCCCTGAACTGCCATAGTTTTTTATTCTTCTATGTTTTTGGGCTTTGGTCTTTCTGGATTAAATCAGTCCAGTAGGCTTAGCAGAAGATCACGCAGGAGTTCTCACAGCCAATGGCTCTGCTATTGTCACATAACATCCCTCAAATGTTTGCTTAGTGGTAGCTTATCTTGAGCCATTCTTTCTTTTCCTTCTTGATTTGTCTTCACAGTCCCCGATTAAGCAAAATCATATGGTAAACACTCCCATAATCCGGTTAATATACGGTATCCACATAGGTTTCAGAGTAGCAGCCATGTTAATCTGTATTCGCAAAAAGAAAAGGAGTACTTGTGGCACCTTAGAGACCAACCAATTTATTTGAGCATAAGCTATCGTGAGCTACAGCTCACTTCATCGGATGCATAAAGTGGAAAGTACAGTGAGGAGATTTTATATACACACGCACACCATGAAAAAATATACATTGTAAGGAGAGTGATCACTTAAGATGAGCTATTACCAGCAGGAGAGTGGGGTGGGGGGGAGAGAAAACCTTTTGAAGTGATAATCAAGGTGGGCCATTTCCAGCACATTTCCAGGAGTTAAAAAGAACGTCTTATAATATTACTAAGCAGTTCCAATTTCGTCACACAGATCTGTCTCAAAAGGGCTGTGTGCAGTCATGAGGCTGCATACCTCAGTTCAGTCAGTTAGCAGACCTATATCTTGCTAGGCTCAAAGCTTCATGAGAAATTCCATATCTTTGATCTGTTATCTAGATACTAATCTGTTGTAGTTGAATTTTATGGATAGTAATCTGATGTAATAGCTTCAGGAAGCAACCTGTATTGTAAGTATAGGCAGGAAGGAGAATGACACCTTCAGGTAGCTGTAAAGTGTGGTAACCAAATAATAGTATAATTAAAACTAACTTTTTGTTAATATTCTTCTAATAAATCAGTACCTTTAAAAACTCAACTCTTCATGGCTTCAAAACTAAAATTCTTGCAGTAGTTCTTTGGTGTCACTGCTTCCCATAGGAAGAAAAAAAAAAGGCAACATCTTGAAGAGGAGGAACAAATCTCTTTAGGGCTTGTGCTCAGAGCCCAGATCTAGAACCTAGAGATAAATGATGAGCAAAAATTTAACAGATGGTGGTATAAAAGTGACAGAAAAATGCATCACAACAGCAAATTCTCTAATATTGATTGATTAACCAATTCCTTTGGCCTTGAATTAGTCTGAGATGCATGGCCAGATACATGGTGTCCATGTTAATGGCTTTTTAAATGTAGAGAATTCTTCATTACATGTTTCTGTATATAGCACCATTCAGAAAAAGCATGGTTCTCCATATTAAAACAACTAAACCATAGTAAAGAGTAATAGGAAAGAAAAGTCTTCGGTTTAGATTTAAAAAATAGGATAGAGTGACTGCTGTAGCTCTTTGAGGAGAGAATGTGCTGAGTGTCAAGCTAACTAAATGAAGGGAATGATGTGAGAAGCAATAAATAGTGACAGAATATTAATGAACAATTGGAGAATTCATAGAAACAAGTCCATAAAAGTAGGAGGGTGTACTTCATAAATGAAATTAGTAATAAGACCTTGAAATGAATTCAGTTTAATGAGCAGCCTGAATAAATAATAGAGTGACATATGAGAAGCTCAAGTGCAGGAAGTTGTGTGTCATTGCTTTGAATAGCTTCTAGAGACTAGAAAGACGAAACTGGGAATATAGCAAGAAGTGTATTACAACAGTCTGGGCATGAAATTCAAACTTAATTGCATGAGGAATTTAATTGTAGATAATGTTCAACAGCTTGCAAAACTAAATGAGCTAATCAATATGAGCAGTAAAAGTCAAATCACTATTGAAAAGGATTCTTACTATAGGTTGTTGTGCACTAGTACGTGTTTGAGAGGACCAAAGTTAGCACTAGGAGAAAGTGAAGACCAGGAAAATGCTCCATGCAATCATGTCTTTAAAAAACAAACTGTGTTTAATGATTGTGACATGACTTTTCCCTTCAACTTAAAAAAAAAAAATCCTATGTATAAGCATGTAAAAATTACTTTAAAGAATGTTAAGGTTCCCAGGTCATGCACTAAAAAGTTAACAAATTCCAGAATAAAGATTGCATGTGTATTTTTTACACCAGTGCAGCACATTTATACTAGGTACAGAAATTCCCAGTATAACTAAGCCTGTATTTTATAGAAACATTACACTAGATGGCGTTTTTGCTCTGGTTTTGGATACAGGCTTTGAAAAACCAAATGAACTGAACTGAAAGTCTTTTGGTAAAATAAGCATGCTAAATTGTCTAGTAGCCATTTGTTTTCAATGTTTAAAAAAAGGGAAAAAAAACCAACAACCCCTATCTCTATAAAACCCAGACAATAAATGTTGAATGAACACTTGAAACACACGCTCTTGGTGAATTTTGTCTTTATAACAGAGATTAGCTATTTAAATCAGCACATCAGTTGTCAGATTTTCTTCTTAAGATCAAGATGTTTGTATATACATTTAATGCAAGATATTTTGAAACACAGATGATCTCTAAAATCTCAGTGGAATTCAGTCATCTTAACCCTTGCCGATGGGTTATTTATACCACTTTTATTGTATGACACAAAAAATTATTCAATTCATTCAACGCAAGTGAGTTTTACTAATAGTAAAACTTAAGATTTTAACACAGGTGACTTTCTACTAAAATTTGTCACTGAAAGTGTTAATCTCTTCCAGTAAGACTGATCATATGGACTTAACACCTTTGTGTGACAATAACAGAAACTCAAACACAAAAAAGATAAGCAAAAAGCCCATGCTTCGGTGTATTTTTGACCCAAACCGTTTTCCTACTCTAGAAAGCTGTATCATTTAAACCATTATTTTATTGTTATTTGTATTAATTTAGCATGTAGGAGTCCTGGTCTTGGCTCTAGAAACCCATTTACTCTTTTTGGATAGGCACCATCTTAGAATAAGACAAAAGAGAGCAGCTGGATACAGGCAGAGTACAAGGAAACAATGAGACAATTTTGGTGAGCATAATAGACAAGTGGTCTTTGAACAGCATTGTTACAACTATTGTCAGGTTCACCAATATACCAACATAATTATACTGGTGTAACTCTGCTAGTGTGGATGCAGTTATTACTGGTATAAAGATACTCTACTTTAAGGGAAATAGCTATTCCAGTAAAAGGCTCCTTTATACCAATATAATGGATGCACACTAGGCTTGTAGCTGTGTAAGTATATTGGTAAAAAAAATTATATCAGTAACAGGCAGTTTTACCAGTACAACTTTCAAATATAGACCAGGCCTACATAGAACATCCACAATTCAAGAAAGCTGAAAAATTTCGGCCATGCTGTACTCCTCTGTCAGGATTTGTGTTGATTGTATATCTTCTCTTGAAACACTTAGGCCCTGCCTATACTACAGGCGGGAGGGAGATTGATCTAAGTTGCGCAACTTCAGCTACATGAATAATGTAGCTGAAGTCGATGTACTTAGATCTACTTACCGTGGGCTCCACACTATGCTATGTTGACTGGAGACACTCTCCTGTCGACTCACCTTGTGCTTCTCGTTCAGGTGGAGTACAGGAGTCGACGGGAGAGTGATCGGCTGTCGATTTAGCTAGTCTTCAGTAGACCCGCTAAATCGATTGCTGATGCATCGATCGCCGTGCTTCGAACCCCCAGTAAGGGTAGACAAGCCCTAAATCTAGAAGACTACGGTCAGGTCTACAGTA